TGACCACTGGAAAGATTTATCACCTCGACACGAACCGTACAAGAATAGGCTGGAAGAGGGTCCTTGTAGCCTAATTTAGGATTGAGTCAAACAATTACAGACTGGAATTGAATGCAGAATAATTCACAGACAAATTAGTTTTATGGTTTTTCAGTCACTCTGAAAACTCTGACTTTCTAAGGAGTTTTTTTATGGATTTTCAGGCATTGGAGCTTGGCCAGAGAACCCTCCCGTGCGTCATCTACACCACACTGAGATAAGGAACAACATCACAGGGATGCTTAGAAGCAAAAATCCCACTCAGAAGAGGAAGACTGAAGCAATTTTTATAATTTTGGAGACAGAGCAGTGGATTTTTAAGGCCAGTGCTGGCACTGACCACCCAGGTGGGAAGATTTATCACCTTGACATGAACCGCACAAGAACAGGCTGGAAGAGGGTCCTTGTAGCCTAATTTAGGATTGAGTCAAACAATTACAGACTGGAATTTAATGCAGAACAATCCAGAGACAAATTAGTTTCATGGTTTTTCAGTCACTCTGCAAACAGGTTTACCCAATTTTACATTCAAGGATGGCAGAATGGAAAATGAGCCCAGCAAAATGCAATATTTCCAGAGGGTGATTTTTCTAAAGGATAATCTTTACAGGAACGGGCTGAGGACATGATGGCAGAGGGTGCTACAAAACCTCTTATCTCCAAACTAATTCAGTTCCAAACATGTGCTGATAGTCATCCCCAAGCAGCTTTATCAGCCTGTGCAGTGGGGGCTGATAAATTCTCGAGTCGTGTTCAAATCACAGCGGCGGCTCCGGGCTGGAGGAGCTTCAGAAAGATCCTCAGGATAGCAAAGAGTGGGATGGTTGAACCACAAACCCCTCCAGGAATGACACAAGGCAGGGAAAAGCCGGGAGAGAAGTGCCAGGTTCACTCACTCCCTGCTCCCCACACTTCCATCCCACCCAGGGGGTGACGAGGCCAAAGATTTCAGGCTCCTTCTGTCACTGCAGAAACAGCCTTTTTAATTCTTGCCTCCACAAAATTAGTGTAGGGAGCTATTTGGGATGATTTGGTGCAAAGAGGCAGCATTTTTTTCTTCTCTTTCACAAAATTACCCTTCTGCAATGTGGGGAACAAGCAGAACTTGCTTGTTGTGACCAAAAATAATTCCAGTTCAAAGTGATCTCTGTCCACCATGAGAAACAAATTCTAGGAACTGGAGGAGAAAATTCCAAGCCATTCTGACTCTTCAACCCCTAATGAACTTAAAGGATATATATTGAGATTATAGAATACATTTTCCTGGCTACAAATGAGGCCAGAATCCATTTTATTGTATTAAGGATCCCGAACAAATTTCTGAGGTTTACAACTTCCATGGTCCATCCCAAACCTGCTGTGCCCAGACAGGTCACAGATTTAGTGACTATTAATCCATGAAAAATCCTGGAAACTCCCAAAAATAATAACAGCAAGAACAGGTATTACTATTATCCTATGTAGTTATAAGATACCTGTTTTTTACAGTTATAAACTGGGATAAACCTTAAAAGTGATCAGATAAACCTTGGGAGCTGTGAGCTGCTTCCTTAGAACTCTGCAGGTTTTATCCATGCCTGAAGAGATGATTTCACAGATCAGAGGGAATAATTAAGGATTATAATAATAATAATTAATATTGATATTACTAAATAATAATAATTAAGGGTTAAAAGAGCTTGAAACAAACAACAGCAAGAGTCAGTTCTTTCGTTTCAGTTCCAGGCAACACGTAAAATCCCAAATTCTGGGGTGGGATTCCACACTGTCCTGTTATGCCTGGAGCTGGGATGAGAACTGTGGTTGTTGCTGTTAGCACTGCTCCACACCAGAGCCCAAAAAAGCTGTTTCAAAAGACACTTCTTGTATAAATCCTTGACCCTCAGAGCCAGATCCCTCCCATTCCTCATATCGGAGGGAGCCCCGGAGCTGCCCCGGTGTCACATCAGCCACCAATACCCCGCACTCAGGAGGCAGCAGATCCCACCTCTGCCCCTCCTGGGAGCTGGGAATGTGTGTTTAGTCCCATTACACAGCTCTGTGACTGGCAAGAGTCCCCAGAACTTCTAAGGGAGGAACATGGAAATCTTTCTCCCCAATATCCCACCTATCCCGGGCAGCGGGAAGTGATTTCCCATTGACCTGGCACTTCAGGCCCTTGTCCCCAGTCCCTCTCCAGCTCTCCTGGACCCCTTTAGGCCCTG